CTCATTTAGTGGGTCAAACTTTAGACCGTGTGTTAGTAAAAAAAAAAAAATTCATGCCGTGTTAACACCTCGGAAGAACCAATTGGGAGCTTTCTTTTTTGTCAACTTGGTATCGAATTCTACCACTCGTTTCTATTAGATTTTTCTTTTATGTTCAAAGAAAAATTTGGACGGTCCAATGTAATATTTAATAGAGATATGTATTTGGTATAATGTTAGGAATTTTCTTAACCTCTTATAATGATCAAGTTGATCCTTGAAGAGGGCCAAATGATGTACGCAAAAACCGTTGATTGGGTTGTTTAAGAATTAAATAATTACAAGATATTGTTAGGAATGTTTATTAGTAAGGGAACAATAATTTGTAATTAGACTTCATTTTAAATAATTTTCACAAGGTGAAGCACCACTCATAGGATATCGGAATGTCTATGATACCATCATACATGAGGTAATTGGTTTGATATTTCTTATTCTTTTTTTCGCCAATGTTTATCAATGATCATACATTTTTTTCATTTCCCATAAGATAAGATTTTCAGAAACTTTCAGTAGTTACAACTTCATAATTTACAAGTGTATAATGTAATTTTATCCTATTTAATTCTCCATTTGCATATGAATGTTTATAAGATGCATGTACAATTGCATACACTATTTATCCTCAAATCACATCTTTATCTCTAAACTATTATTTTTATATACTATCAAACCACAAAAGTAGACGTTATTAAGTATGGTTATCACAAGTTTGATTAAATAATAAAGGAGAGGTTACTAGAGAAAGAATGTAAACCATAATAAAAGTAAGATGGAGAATAGATAATGAACATATATAATATAATTAAATTTACACTATCGAAAACGAGTGATGACAACGATAAAAGGAGAAACTAGTGACGGGCAAGTGGAGGGACGACACGAGGAAATACAACCAGATGAGTAACAACGAAGACAAAAGGTAGGCAATAGGGCAAGTAAACGATTTTCCTATTTATTTTCCGAATAGTAAATTCATATATAAATCTACATATTGTATTTTGTTGATAAACAAAAATATTACAAATCGAGGACTAAAAGTTTTGATGAAATAAGATTGCAGCATTTAACAAAAAAAAAAAGATTGCAGCCTAAACATTTTATATTAGTGTAATTCGTTAAAAATCTAGCAAATATTTAAAACCTAGGACTAATGTTTTAGTGTGAAAGTATAAAAATAAAGTATTTTATCCCAAAAAATTATAAATAAAGTATTGTCGTTTTAAAAATAATATTACTAAAATATTTTTTGAAAAACATAGAATCAGATTTCTAGTAATGGAGTCAAATCAGTTATAGAAAGGATTGTAGAAAGTTTCCAAAACACTTTTCTTTGTCAACATTTCCAAAACATTTGTTTGTGATCATTTTATAACTTTTGTATGTGGTAGTATATTTACGAATGGATTTTAGAAGGAAACACAAAATCTAAAAAACTTTATTAGGGAAATTCAGTAAATTTAATCCTCTGGCATCGAATAGTTTATCAAACATGACTCGTTTTTTACTTGATGGTAATTATATTGTAATCTATTGTGATTAGATAACTAAAAAATGTGCTTAAAGAAAAAGATAAGGAAAGAACAGGCTGTAAGTGGAAGAGGAGCCAAAATGGAAGTCCAGCCTTTCCCCCTTATCCCAATAGTACTCAC